CTCTCTCTCTCTCTCTCTCTGCCATTACAGGAAGGATCTGTGCCACATTTCTGTGCTACATTCGGTATGCTGGTTGTGCCACATTCGGTACACGTGTGTGGCCAGGTTCTTCCCATAATGGCCATGAGCTAGCCGTTCCACTTTCTTCAATTGCGTTGCGTTAACTGTGGCCAGGTTCTTCCCGTAATGGCCATGGAAACTGCAAACGAACTGCAACTTGGAGTGCGACCATGTCACTTTTTTGCAGGCCTGAATTTCCATTGTGTTTGGATTGCGCAGAAAGTTTCCATTTCGATTGTGTTTGAAACACTCGCAAAAACTAGTTTCTGTTGCAAATCTTGCACAAACTACTACTTGTGAAAAAATCGGAACATCGGAACACTATGTTTACCTGCTTTAGTTACAACTAAAGAAAAAGAAGTTAAAGAACAATCAATCCAATTACTTGAGTATACATACAATAGATACCTGTCTGATGTGATTGGCTTTAGATACCTGTCTGATGTGATTGGCTTTACACCAGAGAAGAAGCCTTCTAGCTTCCGGGGTCCTTAAATGTCTTCTTTTTTTTTTCGTTGCAGCATGATGAGTCTGTGTGTGTGTGTGCAGGTGGCATTGCCGGGTCACAACCGTTGTTCCTTTGTGTACCCATGATGTGGATCTGTGTGTGTGCAGCTGTGGTTGGACTGTCACAGTCGGTTACAGTGCGTGCCCGTGGCGTGGAGCTGTGTGTGCAGCTGTTGTTGGCATGTTATGAGGCCATGACGTGGTGTTGATGTCAACGGCTCAAATGGTTCCGCATGCGATTTTTGATTAGAGGATGTGTGTGCGTTGATTTGTATTGGATGTGGGTCATTCTGGTCATTGAGGACTGGCTGCTGACAGCGGCTGTAGTTGTGCGTAAACAGGGATGGCCTGAGTTCTAATTGAGCCGGATGTAGATGAGTGACATACAACGACTCGGAATTACCTAGTGGAGGTCAGTTTCAGTTTGATGATACTAAAAGGGGCTTTACCCGATGCAGGCCTCAGGCCTTGCAAAAGAAAACTAACACGGGTCTTGAAAAAAGTAAAGCATTGTGAAAAGGTATCTCGCCAGGGCTCAGAAACGTGAAAGCAGGTAAGGTCAAGTTCTCTACCAACAGGCACATCTAAATCTAAGGCAAAGGGCATTGTCAAAGGATTTACCTGTTTACTAGGAGCTGTGTCTGTCATGTCTGTACGGGTAAGAGTGTGTCTGTACGTGCAGACAGTGTACCTGTTCGTGCAAAGGAATGTGTCTGTTCGTTTAGAGTTGTGCCTGTCCGAAAGTAAAGTCAATAGGCACAGTCCCAGTTCTGTTTTGGGTCAAAGGGTCAGTCCAGATCCAGACTTTCAAGTCGAAATACAGGCCGAGAGGCCACAGCAGCAGTAGAACATCATTGGGACTCTACTGGGACACATGCAATGCTGGGTCTGGGACAAAGGGAAGGCCGAATTGAGCCAATGCAGACCCAGCGAGGAGTGGCCAGCACTATATAGGGAGCTGCTTGCCTCATTTCTCGCCAGATCTCCACTGGCTTGAATGCGTGGAAGTGCTGGTGCACTTGTGCGTTAATCAGTAGGTGGGAGGGATGCAGCCATGCTGCCCAGCGAGTTAGTAAGTAGAGTAGAAGGGTCAGTACTTAGCTATGAGTAGTATCCAGAGTAGATCCTTGAGAGAACAGTGTGTGCATGCATCGTAGGAGGAAGAAATTGAGACGAAGATCGTTCATTCAAGGTTTGGCTATGGGAGACACTCACCTGAGTTGGTGGTGAGCTGCAGAGTTGGCGCTGATGCGTTGTGACCATATTGATGACTAGGAGACAATCTGCAGAGGTAGCGCTGATGCCTTGGAAGGCATATTGATGAGTTGAGCAGAGATTTGTGTTGCGCTGATGATGTTACATAGGCTGTGAAACTCGGTTCTCTTTTTCTCTACCTTTGTCTATGGTTGAGATTATTGATCACTGCGTGTGAAGATGATGCATGACATGTACACATCTGCGTGAGATGGTCCCCCAGGACCCATGCAATAATATCTCAAGGCCACAAAATGTGACGCCTCGGCTGTGCCTCTGAAACTGCACTCTCTCACACACACACACCCTCTCTCTCTCTCTCTCTCTCTCTCTCTCTCTCTCTCTCTCTCTCTCTCTCTCTCTCTCTCT